TTGGGTTTGTTTACGCGTACAAGACGCAGTGGAAATATTGCTTCCTAAGGGGACGCCGCTTCCCAGTAAAAGTCTGTTGCTACCAGACATGGACCTATCTGCCAAGGGGTTTCTCTTCTGAGATATTTTCTCCCCAGTAAAGCATCCTCACTTCTCTGCAGGAGGAGAATGTTCTTTCTCCCTGGAAATGTAGAAGTTGTTTAAAGTCAAGTTGACCCCTTTTCATTGGACTGCAATTTATTTTTGCAGCATCTCCTCTAAAGTCCATTTTTAGTGGCATTCCTCCTCGGAGTCGACATGTTGAATTGGCAATCTTGCATCGCGGTTTTTACCCAGTGATTGATCGTTCAAGTTGTATATCCTTCAGTAAGGTTTTCCATTCCAAACAGGGGCATGTCGCCCCAATTTCTGTTTTGCAAGTACTGTTGGTTTTGTATGACAAGATGTATACCAGCAATTGAATTAAGAAGGGTCTGTATGTGACTAACGTGAAGATGTTCGTATAATGAGACCCAATTTCCCCAGTGGAATTATTCTTCTTTCCCTAAAGGAGCAAGTGTCCTATCTCTCAGGTGAGATGTACAGGAGAATTCCAGACGTAACTCCTTCGTTACCAGTTGTAGAAGATGTTGTTGAGATATCCCTAGTGGATTTTCTATCCCGGGATGTTTATTTATTCCCCAAGTAAGGATCTTTTACCTCCCAGCAACGTTATCCCCAGTGTGGTCTGAGTAGAATTCTTTTTATTTAAGAATTTCTATACTCTCCAACAGAAGTTATCTTAGTCAGAATTTCTATGCCAGAAGTTTCCATTCCCAGCAAAGCTTTCCTCTTTCCAACAGAGGATAAAGAATTACTCCCCAAGAAGTTGAGGGTTTTGATCAGAATTCAACATTTTCTCTGAATCACAATTTATGTTTGCAGTATTCTTCCTAGGAAGTTACTTCCCCAGTGATATCAATCTTTAGGGGTCGACGGTTCCAAATCTCGGTTCCCCATTGAAGTACATATTGCCTTTTCTCTACAGAAGATCCGATGTGGAAGAATAATCGTTCGAAAGTTCTTCATCTTCTCAGTAGTCGATTATTGATGTGTTTTCCTAATACATTATTAAACATGCATCATTACATTGCATCATTACATTACATCTCCTAAAACGCGTAGCATTTCCATTATATGGAGCATTACGCTATAAAAAATTCAAACATGCATGGGTATAAGCCAATTGTGTCCACCTGTGGTGACCAGATTGTTATACGCGCAAATTTGATTTATCCCTACAAGAAGCCTAGGGTAATTCTACTATGTTTCCTCAATGGAGTTTGTTTTGATTCACCACCAGTCGGGTCTTTGGTATTCCTCCATCTCCCCAGTAAGTTTGTGGTTTGTGCTTGCCTTTGCAAGCCTTTGGTTATTTTACCTGTGTTTGCTTTGCCTTAGAGTGCGAATAAGAGTCGGCGTATAGCCTTTCTTATTTCTCAAGTATTTGAGTATCCATACTTGGTGGGTGGTAATTCAGATAATTGCCACTCTTGAAGAATTACACCCCGCCTTTGGTCTGAGGGATTTTGTAGTTCTTGCGTATTTGTAACCTATCGAAAGCCCAACGTGTTTTGGCAATCCTTGTTAAAGTCTGCTTTGACCAATCTCTTTATCTTGTAGAGTTCACCTTCGATCGGTGCTCTCTAAAGGTCCTGCTTAGTCGGTTCCTTGTTTCGGTTTATCTGTGTTAGTCGAGTCCTCCTTTCGTTAGCTTAGCTAACCTTTTATGTTAAGAGTCTTTCAGTGTCTCTTCAAAGTTCAGTTGTCTGGCATCCTTGTTTAGGCGAATGCATCCTTTTTATTGGGTCTTTCTTCAATTAGTCTCATTCCTGTATTCACTATCAACTCTAAATATTTGTTTCTTGATGCTCAATTCCACTCCTACGTATCTAACTCTGACCAGATATGCATACCTGTATCTTTCAAAACCCCGCTTCGGCTGGTATCTTTTGTCAAAATCCTGCTTCGGATGGTGTCATTTCTTTTAAATCCACCTTCTATTGGTATCATTTGTCAGGAGTCTCATTCGTTTGGTCTCCTTCCTCAGTAAGTTCGCCTTCGATTGGTGTTTCTTTGCAAGAGCTTTCTTCGGTCTGTCTCTTTCGAACGTATCCGATACTGACCACAGATATGTATTTTCGATACCTGTTTCATATGTCTGCTACCAACCCCAGACATATGTTCTTGTATCTTTGATGTATCTTTTGTACGTATCCGATATCGACCACAGATATGTATCTTTGATGTCTCTTTCGTACATATCCAATACCGACCACATATATGTATCTTTGATGTCTCTTTCATACGTATCCGATACCGACCACAGATATGTATGTTTGACGTCTCTTTCGTACGTATCCGATACCGACCACGGATATGTATCTTTGATGTCTCTGTCGTACGTATCCGATACCGACCACGGATATGTATCTTTGATGTCTCTTTCGTACGTATCCGATACCGACCACATATATGTATCTTTGATGTCTCTTTCGTATGTATCTGATACCGACCACGGATATGTATCTTTGATGTCTCTTTCATACGTATCTGATACCAACCACAAATATGTATCTTTGACGTCTCTTTCGTACGTATCCGATACCGACCACGGATATGTATCTTTGATGTCTCTTTTCTGCGTATCCGATACCGACCACGGATATGTATCTTTTCTATCTCTTTCTTACGTATCTGATACCGACCACAAATATGTATCTTTTCTATCTCTTTCTTACGTATCCGATACCGACCACGGATATGTATCTTTTCTATCTCTTTCTTACGTGTCCGATACCGACCACGGATATGTATTTTTGATGTCTCTTTCTTGTATATCCGCTACCAACCCCGGACATGTGTCTCTGATACTTTTTTTCGCATGTCTGCTACAGACTTCAGGCATATATCTTTTGATATCTTTCTTACAGGTGTTTGTTACTAAATCCCAACAGATGTTCCTTGATAACCAAGTTATTTTGCTGTGTGTCAAACCCTGGTTAAACATACATCTAACCCCGATAACCCCTTCAACCTAGAAAGCAAAAAAAAAATACAGAAAGACCAAAAATAATGATACCTGACTGGCTTCGAAGCGCAAATTTTCGGGTTCTTTTAGTATTTAATCTTCTTCTACCTTGAAAGTTCGAAAGGCTAGCGCCAATCTCACCTTCAGGTTGAAGGCGATTAAATAGGGGCAGCTGTTGCACCCCAAAATTTGCCCTCCTAAATTTCTTCTATTTTGGCTTAGATTCTTGCATTCATCTGTATATATTCCATTAGGTCATTGACATACATTTGCATTCAATAAAGTGCTTAAGGATCAAAATTCAGTGGTCGTGCGATATTAGGGTTTCATAATGATTGAGGCGTTCTTGTCCGATAAAGGCTGATTTCTCATTCAGGCAGCAAGCAGTGGAATTAGGATTGAGATCTGGGTCATTGAGAATTTCTTTCTTCATCAAGCTACAAGGCCATCCGAGTTTATTTTCCTATGTACGATCGAAGTCAGGATTTTGACGATTGTGTTCTAATCGAGTACTTATCCAAGGATTATGGTTTAAGGTTGCCACTTATGGCTATTTGGAGTCTCCTTCCTTCAGAATTAAGGACCTCCGTCTGTCACCACTTCTTAGGTTTTCTTACCAAGACCGGACTTTCACATGAAACTTTCTCTTAAAGTGACGAGTATTTGGTTCTATCCTAAAAAAGTATGAACTTTAGCATAAACATTTGTGTGAATCATCTGCTCCTATTTTATGGGATAAAGGTTTCGTCGGGAGTATTGATGCCATTGGGATCTTATTAGGATTATCTTTCAGAATCCGAAGGGATCTGCATATCAGGGTTCAAGGGTGTTTTCCCTATCAACTTTGCTTTAAGATGCAAGATTTTAGGGGTAGGCGATGCGAGTGTGAATTAGGGTTTTTAATCCTTGGTGTAGACTTGATCTGGTTTTCATTTGAGGCGTTCTATTCACTATAATCAAGTGGTGGTCATCCTTTGGTCAAGATTTTGGTTTATATGGTAATATCAATTGGATATCATTTTTTTTTACCAAAACAAGGCAGTATTCTTTCTAAAGCTTTTTTGCTTGGCACGCAAATTTGGGTTAGATTGGGGGAATTAAATTGGATTAGGAGTCCATCGTTGTTTACTTAGTACATAAAAATTAAGTTTCAAGAGCATATGTGTTCAGGATGTCAAGAAGTTGATCTAAATAAGGAACAATGGCAGAAAAGCTTTAATTACGAAAAAGGAAAATTGAGGCTCATGACGACCATTCGAGTATCATTCTTCATTGTTCAATCTTATTTCATAAGTCCAAGTGCGAATTAAAGTATTCAAGGAATGTTTCTTTCATGACTCAAGATCCATATGTCACTATTTTGTTCAATACAAGGTTCGTCCACATATAAGTTTTCGAAATAGTTCATTCAATGGTACTCAACTTCGCACAAATTATATCCAATCAATTCCATTTCAATTTCATTCCATTACAAAACTCATGCCATTATAAAGTTACAAAGAAAACTACCAATCTGGTTCATCCAATATACACATCATATCCATTCACCATTACAAGTCCAAAGCTTATACTTCAAGACAATATTCATCCAAACCCTTTCAAAAACACTCAAATTTCCAAAATATTATACAAATCATTCATAATACTTTACAGAGAAAAAAAATAGTCACCAAGCCTAACCAACTAAAACCCGGTCTCGATCATTCATAACTAGGTACCAATTAATAACCGGATTAAATAATATTTTTTCTACCACCTGCTATCCCCTCCATACCTCATGTGCAGAAAAATCCCGTTGTTGCAATTAGGCCATCAACAAGTGGATCATCAAGAGAGCTATCAGATGATGACGAAGCTGAAAAAGAAACAGAATCTGTTGGATTGAGTGAACGTTCAGTTCTCTCCGATAGCATTTTCACAAGCAACAACAATGGGCGCATATTGCAACGACGCCGTTTCATTTCCACCACGTTACGACGTCATAAAACACGTTCATGATAATGTCCATGGCAACATCTTCATCGATTCTCTCAGTTTGAAGTTCATTGATACTGAACAGTTTCAGAAGCTTCGAGAATTGAAACAACTAAGTTTCACACACTTGGTGTATCCAGGTGTTGTCCATTCAAGTTTTGAGCATTCTCTTGGAGGGTATTGTATTACTGGTCAATCTGTTGAAAAGCTTAATAGTTATCAAGGAATGGAGCTTGGCATTGATAGATTTGATATGCAAACAGTGAAACTTACTGGACTATTACATGATGTAGGACACGGGCCATTCAGTCACTTGTTTGAACGGGAGTTTCTTCCCCAAGTTAACAGCGGTTCTCATTGGTCGCATGAACAAATGTCAGTCAACATGGTTGATTATATAGTTGAGGAACACAATATTGATATTGAATCTCAGATGTTAAGAAGAGTCAAGGGGATGATATTGACGAGCTCCGAATTTTCTCTTCCCAGAAGCTCAAGTGAGAAAAGTTTCATGTATGACATTGTTGCAAATGGACGAAATAGAATTGATGTTGACAAATGTGATTATATTGCCCGTGATTGTCGAGCTTGTGGCCTTGGATGCAACTTTGAGTTTCAGAGGTTAACAGAGACCATGCGGGTTTTGGATAAAGAGATTTGTTATCGTGCGAAGGACTATCTTACAATCCACAAGTTGTTCGCCACTCGGGCTGATCTGTATAGAACAGTTTATACACATCCAAAAGTAAAGGCAATGGAGCTTATGGTGGTTAATGCACTTGTAAAAGAAAATGATTTTTTGCAGATTTCAGATACCATTCAAGATCCGGCTGAATACTGGAAGCTGGATGATTCAATTATAAAAACCATCGAGACTTCTCCATTAGAAGAACTGAAGGAAGCTAGAGAGTTGATTATGCGCATTCGAAGGAGGAATCTGTACCAGTTTTGTAACGAGTATGCTGTTCCAAGAGATATAATGGATAATGTTAAGAAAGTCACTCCACAGGATATAGTTTGTTCCCAGAAAAATGGTGGAGTTATGTTGAAAGAAGAGGATGTAGCTGTTAGTAATGTCAAAATTGATTTGACTCGCGGAAAGCACAATCCTCTATAAAGCATCCACTTTTTCAAGGATTATGAAAGTGATGAGAAATTTACAATTCCCGATGAGCGCATAAGCCACTTGTTGCCTGCATCTTATCAAGATATGATTGTAAGAGTATACTCGAAAAAAAGCCAGAACTAAAAAAAAAAGAATTTGCAGAGGCATTTGAAAATTATCAGCTGAAAACATATGGAATCAAAACACAGGTTTCACAATTAAGAGGTGAAAATTCTTCCTTGGTAAAGCGCCTCACTGATGTAAGCCAAAAGTACATTGATTCTGCTATTGACAACAGAATGCTGAAAGCTGATGTTGAAACTTTGAGAGCAAAGGTGAAGATAGCTGAAGAGACTGTCAAAAGAATTACTGGATTGAATCCGATGTTTCACATCATGCCTGATATGTCATCAATGAGCATGCCTTCATTTGATGGAAGCACTTCAGACAATTCAGCTGACGCAGATGTTCCTGTGCAAGACGATCCACATCATCACTTCTACCAACATACATAACAGAATTTTCTAAACAGGATTCTAATAGCCTATTCCAAAATTAACCTGCAAACTGAATTACTAATTCCCATAACCAAATTCCAACAACTTACTAACAACCTCCATAACAAACTTCAATAGAAAATCCCAACTATTTTAACAATACATAACAGAATTTTCTAAACAGAATGCCCAATTAACATAACCATCTTGTAACAAACTCTCACTCTCACCCTTCAATCCCTAACAAACTCTACCCAAATCAATGGTTCGGATTGATTCTCACATGGCCGTTTCCATCTCCCTCAACTACCTATATAATCCAAACTCCCCCCAAGTTTCACGGGACGATGTTGCTCTCTTTTTCCAGTTTCAAAACTTCACTCTCTCTCCACCATTTTATCGGCTTCAAAGCAATTTTTTCCCTATCCATCATTCACTCTCCATTTTTTCTGAACTCTCATCATCTTCATCTTCCTTTCATTCATTCACTTTTCTCTTTTTCCCTATCTCTCTCTCTCTGTAAATTCCACCGTTCTTGACATCTTTAAAAAATCACAAAACTCCTTTAGTTCTCATCACATCTCATCATCTTCTTCAAAGACTTCAACGAGAATCTACAAGAACTTTATACATCATCAGCATCATCTTCAACGATTTCAAAACAAATCGCGCTCGGCTCAAGAACAACAAGGCATCACACCACAACACGCACCAGCAAACAAATCACGGTGCAGAACAATCGATTCACAGAAGAAGAAGATTGAGAGGAAAAGGTCACGCATATGAGTTAAGAGATTCAAACCTGAATACACCAGCACTACCAGATTTCTATTCATCTCCATCATCCTCAAAGAGCACCGGACTTCTCTGGTAGGTAAACACCGTCGTCTTATCTCCTTCGCTATTTCACTCTTTCCTTTTAGCACCTCCATGTAGAACGTGTGGCAGGATCTCTTTTTTTTGGAGAGTTGTTGTTTGTTGAAAATCGGGGAACGATGTGGAGGTTTAGAAGAGAAGAGAGATCGAAGTAAGAACGAAAATGATGATGTCGAGGAGACGGAGACCGTGCGAGGTTTCATTGGAGAAGGAGATTGATGGTGAAGTTGCGACAATCGCCGATTGGAGTGAAACAATGGCGGTAGTTCATTCACACGGTGCCGTTTGGAAGAAGAGAAGAAGAAGTATGACTGTCACTCCCTGGAACCCTCGCAATTCCCAAACGACCTCGTTTTCTTTTTTTTTAGTTTGTTAATTCTTTGATTTTTATAATTAATAATGATAAATGAAAAAAGATATAATATTGGTTGGAGTTTGTTTGTGGATGTTACCATTTCCCCTGGGCTCATGCGCTGGATCCTCTAAGCCCATCAGGTATTTTTTTAAAACAGAAAAAACTATAACAAAAAATGTTTCATGAACTGGGCCTAGAATCTGAATTGGAATCTCTATAGTGGCATCGTGTACAACATACACCTCCTGGGCTGGTTTTTATTCTTGACGAAATTTCTTTTTTTTTATTTATAATTTTGATTATAGTTTAAGACTTATCTTAATCTTCCTCATAATATATATATATATATATATATATATATATATATATATATATATATATATATATATATATATATATATATATATATATATATATATATATATATATATATATATATATATATATATATATATATATATATATATATATATATATATATATATATGCGACAGGAAGCTGATCTGTCTCTTTCATCCAAAGGAGAGGAGGATCAAGAAGAAGAAAAAGGGTCCTAGTCCTGTAGTCTCTGATAATGATACTGATTTTGATGATGAGCAGTATCCTCCTGCTGAGGATAGGTACAAACAACTCGAAGACCGTCTGAGCGCTATGGAGATTCAGAAGATTCCTGGTTTGGAATTTGGAGAGCTGGGATTGGTATTAGGAGTGGTGATTCCTCATAAGTTCAAAGCTCCGATTTTTTCTAAGTACGATGGAGTGTCCTGTCCTAAACTCCATCTCCGCTCGTATGTCCGAAAAATTCAACCCCACACCGCTGATAAAAATTTGTGGGTACATTTCTTTCAAGATAGTCTGTCAGGGACTCAGCTTGAATAGTTTTATCAATTGGAAAGAGCTAATGTCCGAAACTGGGAGGACCTTGCTGCTGCTTTTTACAAGCAGTATCAGTATAAGGCCGACCTTGCTCCCACTCGTATTCAGCTTCAGGGTATGTCTATGGGTGCAAGTGAAGGTTTTAAGGACTATGCTCAAAAGTGGAGAGATTTGGCTGGAAGAGTCCAACCCCCTTTGTTTGATAGGGAGTTGGTGGATATGTTTCTAGGGACGTTACCGAGTCAATTTTTCAATCATCTGATCGGTAGTTCGTCATCTGGGTTTACTGAATTGATTTTGACTAGGGAGAGAGTAGAAGCTGGTATCCGAAGTGGTAAGATACAGAAAGGTACTTCATCAAGTGCAGAAAAGAAGACTTTCACCGGTAGGAAAGAAGCAAGTGCAGTTTACAGCGCGAGGAGCCAAAGCAGACCTAAACGCCGTCAAGCAGTAAATGCTGTAGTAATATCAAGACCCACCGTTGCCCCACAATGCAACAATCAGCAAAGAATGGAGAGACCGCAAAGACAGTACACTCGGCTTAATATGACCTTGTCTCAAATTCTACCACAATTATTGAAGACCAACCTAGTAACTCTGAGGGATGCCCCGAAGAATCCCAACACTACATCTCCGCTATATAACCTGAATGCCCGCTGCGCCTATCACTCTGATAGCCCATGTCATGATACAAACAACTGTCGGGACTTGAAGAATAAGGTGCAAGATTTGATTGAAGCTAAAGAAATTGATTTTGACGCTCTGGAGAAGCCCAACGTCATGACTGCTCCTATGCCCAAACATGGTCATGGAGTAAATGATGTGGACGATTATTTATTTGTGACCTCTGTGGAAGACATTTCCACTCCTTTAATGATAGTAAAGAAGAATATCTTGTTGGCTGGTTTATTTCCGGGCTGTGGCGAAGGTTGCCACATATGTTCAATCCTGCCTACTGGTTGCCACTTATTGAAATCAGGTGTTCAGCGCCTGATGGATAACAAAGAAATCATATTCGAGAAGACTATGATTCCGTTATTTCCAGTTGAAGATGTTGTCATCATAACCATCTCCGTCAATCCTTCCAAGGCTTCCTCGAGAAAGCCTATTAGGATTACATCTGTTCCCAGAATCGCTCCGTTAATCATTACTATCCAGGGTCCTATCCCATACACTTTGGATAAGGCTGTCCCTTGGCACTATGAGGCCGATGTTTATTACCATGGGGTTAAGCAAGACTTAAAGATTGAAGAAGCTGATGCTGATATATGCAATATTGTCGGGGCTAGCAAGGTCACCAGAAGTGGAAGACTCTTTTCTCCCGAAATGTCCCCTCCGACTGTTCACAAACATGTTATCACCCCTGTCGCCGAGTCATCTGACACTCGGGGCAAAGAACTCACAGGTGAGCCTGCCCGGATGGAGGCACCTAAGAAGATCTTTGTAGAAACCTCTAAGCAGGAGATAGAGGAAATTCTGAAAATTATCAAGAAGAGTGACTACAACATAGTCGAGCAGCTGGGGCAGACCCCGTCAAAAATCTCCATGTTTTACTTGTTATTGTGTTCGGAAGCCCATGCAAAGGCTTTAATTGCTTTCCTCAAAACTGCGCATGTGCCGCAGGAGACTTCTGCCGATCAATTCAAAGACTGTGTAGCTAGTTTGACTGCCGACAACAGGTTGGGTTTCTCAGACGCGGATCTGACTGCTAAAGGAAGAAATCACAATGATGCTCTGCACGTCTCGATCGAGTGCAGGGGCACTACCATGGCCCACGTACTGGTGGATACTGGGTCCTCATTGAATGTTTTGCCAAAGAAAGCGCTAGACCGTCTGGACTGTGAAGGTTTGATTCTAAAGCCGAGTAATATTGTGGTCAGGGCTTTCGACAGGTCAAAAAGGATGGTGCACAGGGAGGTGGATGTCCCTGTTAAAGTTGACTCTCAGACTTTTGCATCTACTTTCTATGTGATGGGTATCCGACCATCTTATTCTTTCTTGCTGGGTCGCCCTTGGATTCATAAGGCTAGGGAAGTGACTTCTACGCTCCATCAGATGTTGAAATATCCAATAAAAGGGAAGATTGTTACAGTGCAAGGAGAAGAGGAGTACATGGTGAGTCATATTAACTCCTTTCGGTATGTGGAGATGGATGGAGAATTCATCGAAACCCCGTGTCAGAACATTGAAGAGGTTCCCCAGACTTTAGCGTCGACTGGAGTTGCTGCTGACAAACCTCCGATGAAGATGGCTTCCCTCAAGGATGCCAAGGCTGTAATTGAAAAAGGTGGGTGTGAAAATTGGGGTCAGCTCCCTGATTTCACACACAAGACTGACAAGTTTGGTTTGGGCTTTACTACAGAGGCACAAAGGGATGTTCAGCGTGCGTGGATCGGAAGACCTCCTCTGCACATCAGTAATCCGAGAGTAAAGGCAATCGAGGATGATGAAGAAGAGTCAAATATCGACAGCTAGATCTACCCGACTACCAACGGTGGATTGAACAACGTGATGGCGAAGGACTTCATGCCCGTTTCTTTTATTACACAGTAATAGACTTTTGTTTTGAGATTTGTAACAGACAGTTTAAAACTTTACAGCCCGGTGCCTTGCCCGAGGCACTTTTGCTTTGTTTGTGAGGGCTTATTATTTGTCATTTTCATATATCATCAATAAAGCATTGGACGTTTTCTTGCATTACAAATTTTACGCTCCTTGTTTTTCCTTTCTATCTTGCACTTTATCAAAGCAGCTATTGTCTTACACACACTCATATATCATAATGCAGATCCATATCCACTCTGGATCCCATTGATAAAAACTCTGCTACTGCCAGTTATGACTTCGAAAATCTGATCAACCAAGCCAAGGACGAAGGTGAGGATGATTGTGAAGTGCCCAGGGAACTTGCTAGACTGTTACTACAGGAAGAGAGGGCCATACAACCTCATGAGGAACCAGTGGAATCAGTGAAGTTGGGTACAGAGGAAGACAGGAAAGAGGTCAAGATAGGTGCGAATCTGGAGCCTAGCGTCAAGCAACGGTTGATACAGATGCTACGCGACTATGTTGAGATCTTCGCCTTGTCTTATGAAGATATGCCTGGTCTTATAAAGATATGCCTGGTTTGGACACCGATATTATGGTACACCGCCTGCCGACTAAAGAAGACTGTCCTCCGGTAAAGCAGAAGGTTCGCCCCCGAGATGTCTGAGAAAATCAAAGCTGAAGTCATGAAACAGTTTGACACCGGATTTCTAGCTGTTACTTCTTATCCACAATGGGTTGTCAACGTTGTTCCAGTCCCCAAGAAGGATGGTAAGGTGAGAATGTGTGTGGACTATAGAGATCTAAACAGGGCAAGCCCCAAGGATGATTTCCCACTCCCTCACATCGATGTTCTGGTCGACAACACCGCGCAACATAAGGTCTTCTCCTTTATGGATGGTTTTTATGGTTACAATCAGATTAAGATGGATCCTGAGGACATGGAGAAGATAACTTTCGTTACACAGTGGGGCACCTTCTGTTACAAAGTAATGCCATTCAGATTGAAGAATGTTGGGGCAACGTATCAGTGCGCCATGGTCACTTTGTTCCACGACATGATTCACCATGAGATTGAGGTTTACGTTGATGACATGATTGCAAGGTCCCAGACTGAGAAAGAACACCTTGACCATCTCCAGAAACTGTTCGATAGGTTGAAGACGTACAAACTGAGGCTAAACCCGAACAAGTGCACCTTTGGGGTAAGGTCTGGTAAGCTGCTGGGTTTCGTCTTCAGTGATAAGGGTATTCAGGTGGATCCTGCCAAGGGGAAAGCTATACAAGAGATGCTATCTCCCCGCACAAAAAAGGAAGTCAAAGGCTTTTTGGGACGTCTGAACTACATCGCACGATTCATTTCACATCTGACAGCTATTTGTGAGCCAATCTTCAAGCTGCTAAAGAAATATCAAGTGGTAAAAT